CTTTCATCCAAACACTCCAGCTTATGCTGCTCCGTGAAAGAACATAATCAGTTTTAAGAATCAGATCCAAACACCCTAAAGTTGATGTACTTAACTACTTAAGAAGTAAAACACTCTACAGTTAATTTTTTTAAATAGAATTGCTTCTAAAAAAATCAGAATTCTTACAATATTGACAATGGATGACTCTTCTTTCTTCTCCATTTAATCCTTACACTCCATTTTCTTTCTATGCCCCAATTTATTTTACTTTTCCTATATCCATTTCAACATAATCCCTGTTTTTTCTCATCCTTTCTCTCTGTAATTAGGAAGTACTAAAATGTAGGTCGAATCTATTGGGAAGTACAGATCACACCAACACATTGTCAGTTCGTATTTATGGATGATGGCCGTAGAATTAATCACCTTTAACTTTTTACCGTACATCCAATAATTCTCACGTTTAGATCCACAGGCTTTCACATACCGACGCATGTATTTCTCCCTATTTTTTATTGCACAAGCTTGAAGCTTTATTATCGTATGGGAAAAGCACCCATCCAACTTACAAAAAAGCCATTTTATATTCCCTTGTACTGTTGTACACTTTTAGAATTATTATTAGTGTTCACCCCATTTCAAAATATTACCTCCCCCTAATGGGTTGATACTCTCGTATTATTTTATTAAATTGATAGAATGCAAATAATATACTCCTAAGAATTAATTCGAATGGGTGAATGTTAAAATATTTATCTCACACCGATTTATTCCTCTTATCATATTAATTTTTTAAAATGGAACTTCAGATCTTCACAATGAAGTATTATTAAACAAATTAGATATACAAATCAAATAGGACAGATAACATGTGAAGGAAAACGGAAAGTTGACATCTTTTAAGATGGAACTCGATTCCTAAGATGTTATTAGTGCCAGAATTAATACTTGAGATAATAAATTAAGAGTCTGTTTAGTCCATTTATACCGTGTGTCCCCTGTATGTACATACCTGGTTAGCGTACAGGCACGGGGTTGCCATCTGTAGCGGAGATAGGAGCGGTCGGGGCGGGCATTCCCGAGGCAGTTGAACTCGCGCTCTATGAAGGGGCAGAGGGATGAGTTGTAGAGAGGATAGGCTTCATCTTCAACCCAACTCCCCTCAAAATAATCACACTCCTCTTTCTTTGCCTCTGCTCTGAGAAGCAATAAGGTGAATGCTGCTGCTATCAACAGCACATAGAAACTGCAGCCTGGAATTGCAACCATCTATGATCTATCCACCTCCTTAATTAGCTAAGATGCCTGGAATCTGATGAAGAGCTAGCGAGATGGAGCTACTTTTAGCTAGCAGCCTGCGTGCCCCACTCTCCCTCTCTTTCTATTTCTTTTTTCGTGTCTCTATTGACTTGTGTATGTGTTGGCCTATGTAAGTCTTTATATCATCTCTTTTCATCGGTCCCAATTATGAGGCTATGATCACAAATAACTCCATAAATGATTTACGGTCACATTTTTATGAGGATATGATGATACCATCAATACATTCACGATTACATTGTTTTGAATATTTTTAGACGTTTCACTTGTTTGGTAATATTGAAATGCACTCAATCAACTTATTATTGCGATGAAGCTTATGAAATTATGACGTGACTCGATTGACTGATTCTGCTGATTTATGAAAAAATTATATTTGAATTATATTTTAGTTTTAAAATAAAGATAAAATTATATGAGAAATAGCTACAATGATATTCTGTAGTGACTTCAGCCATTTCATCCAAAAAAATAACTTAACCTTAATTATTTTGATTATTACACAATTCAGCGCACGAACTTAAAAGTTACGTGTTTGGTTGAAAAAGGTTGATTGATATGACTAATAAGCAGAAAAATAGAGTCACCAAACGGGCTCTTATAGTTACACTTTTACTACTCCATATATTTTTAATTAGATTGATTTCGCACTGTACCGGATCAGATAAGATCATACTTCCAATTGTAAAATACACACAGAATATTAAACTGATTAGACTAGGTTTAGCTTATAAATACCATATTATACTGGAGCAAAGCGGACTAGAAAATTTCAATTCAATCAAAAATATCCTTATAGGTGTCCACTTAACATAGCTACTAGTTACCCCCTCCTTCCTTTAAAACTTTGACAAGTTTGATCGGCACGAAGAATAATGAATTTAAAAAACTAAAAAACGTATGTTTGGGCTTTGTACAAAGGAGAGAGCGATAAAATGAAACACAAATTAATTGATTAAAATAGAAAGTGATGAATTTTTTGGAACATTTTAAAAAAGAAAGATGACAAAGTGTTAAAGACGAAGGCAAGGACAAAGCCACATATAAGGATGCGGTGTCAATTGACACCACTCAATTGTTTTTGTAATTATATATAGATTTATATTTTAAAGAAATTAATTTGACACCACCTATATAAATGGAAATATGAAATGATGACACCACTCAAATATTGTTTGTAGTTATATATATGAAGGTATATTTTCTACAAATTAAATTAACACCATTTCTATAAACGGAATGAGGGTCAAAGTATAAATTTATATGTAGTAATTACTTATTTATAACTAAAACAAATAGTATTTGTAAAAAGTGATGTCTTACGCATAGTGACTACATTGGAAACTTCAATTATAGTAATTTATGTTCATTTTTTACACTTAAATGACTATAACACTATATTATAATAAATTTTGGTGAAACTTTTATAAATAAACAAAAATAATTTCAAATATAATTTTGAAAGAGCCTCTAAATATATTTCTTAACTAAAACAAATTTACATGTAATTTTCTCTGTTTTGAAACCTGAAATTTGACTCAAATAATAGTATGGACCATATAATTATTAAGGGAGAACTATCAAATAAGCCTTTGAACTTACATAAAAAGTGCAAATCACCCCTTATATAGGAGACTCTGTCCGATCGTCGTCATTTGGGGCGGTTCCCGATAGAATTTTCGATGAAATTTTTTAGCATCTTGTACATTAAATTAAGTCAAGTTTACTCATACCAAATTTTAGCTAAAAATTTAACCGGGAAGGCAGTCAAATGATTTTCTGAAATATACTACGTTGTTTAACTGCGCAGTTATCTTCAACAATTCATTTGATTGCCTTCCCGATTGAATTTTTAAGTGCAATTTGGTATGAGTAAACTAGACTTAATGAATAAGATGCTCAAAAAATTTATCAAAAAATTTCATCGGGAACCGCCTCAAATGGCGACGGCCGGACAAAGCCTCCTATATATGGGATAATTTATCAAAAAATTCTCGATTTGCATTTTTATGTAAGTTCGATGATTTATTTGATAGTTCTCCCAATTATTAATTATCAATAAATTTATTTTTCATTCAGAACTACGAGTATTATTTACTTTAAAATGTTGACACTCACACGAAAGCATCCCACGAGCTGAGGGAGAATTATAGGCAAGCATGACAAAATTAAGCTACTCCGTAGTAATTAACTATGTGATTATGTGACATGCATGTGTCCAGCTAGTTGTCTGGGTTCAGTGTGAAAGACATTGTCGGCCTTACAAACCAAAGCAAAACAAGGCTCCCCGGGGTCAAGAGTCAGCCTAAATAACCAACTCATTACTCATATTGAAGCAAAACGTAGATGTACATGGGCCTTTGTCTGGGTCGAATAGCTGCAAATGCAGGGGTTAAGGCCCATATCGTACTCCCTCTGACACACTCAGACACATATGCGAATTTACATGTGGTAACCCGTACCCTATAAACATAGTACGGAGTATCTTTTTTTAGGAAAAATTGATAGTAATAATCCCAACTATTGACGGTCCGCTCATAATAATCTCAACTATTTATTATTACAGAATAATCCCAACTTTAAGGACCTTCCGCAAATAATGGTCCCTATGAATAAATTCTTGTAGTTTCTAAAGTGGATGAGATGAGATATAACAATTAATCTCTATAAATAATCTCAACTTTTAATTCTTACGCTTAATTTCTATTTAAAATTCACTTTTTATAGAGGTAATATATGGTCATGGACTATTATTGGCGGATAGTCTATATAGTTGGGATTATACAAAAATAATCAATAGTTGGGATTATTTTCAGCGGACCAGCAATAGTTGGGATTATTGCTTTCAATTTTTCCTTTTTTTATGGACAAAATAATTGAAACATTTCAAATTTTTGAAAGAGCGTGAGATAAGTATCTCAAACTTACACATGTAGCTTATCTCAAATTGACAATCAGCAAAACCTTCTCATCACAAATATGTGTTTTTCCTCCCAATTAAAGCTTCTGCTTGAATAACAATTCTTTTTTGTTATATACTAATGTAGAAAAATTCTTGCAAGTTCATCTCATAGGATTACAATTTCATCTCATATGTTTGCTAAGGAGATTGTAGATGAAGGCTTGGACTTAAAGCAGCACTTATATGGTATTTGTTCAACCCTTAGCGTGAAAAATTAAATTACAATTGTCTTTTGCATATGTAGTGTTTGATCAAATGCTTAGCTGAAGAAAACAATTTGGGAACTTTCAGTGTGATAAGGAATATCTTTCCATCCATTTGAGGTTATGTTCATTCACTCTCAGCTTCTCTGAAATTCTCAAACTCATAATCTTTTCTTTGCATGAAAATTTCGTGAAAGTTTATGAATTTTATAATCTGAATTCTGTTGAAATCTCTCTCATGTTTTTATTTCAATTGTCTTTTTCTTTAGAATGAATTTGATGGATAAATATAGATGATGGATTATATGGACTCCGACCCCCCGGTATGCCGACTACTAGGCCTGGACAGCGGCCCACACACGTTTAGCGGATATCATTAATATTATTGTACATTATTATTATTCAGATGTTCTAGATTAGCTTTTTATACTATCAGTCCATTTATGTAACCGGGTCTGTCAGGCCCATATTAGAGGCCCAGACCCGGATTCTCCCTATATATACTCCTTATAGGAGGGTTGTAACTCATATAACAAATATTCATTCTATACACATTTTCTTTTCTTCTCCATTACTCCTTTTGATTCTTGTTCAATTTCTCCTGTTTATACAATATGGGTATCAATTATCCAACAATGGTGCTCTCGTTGAGAGTTTGAACACAATCAAGTGAGAAAACCTCCCAATTAACCAAAATCCACTGAATCACAAAAAAAACATCCAAAAAATCGTTCCATTTTACAAGAAATTGAAAAATCCAGAAGAAATTATGAGATCTGGAACTCCTTTGGCAATAAAGTCGGTCAATCGGAGCGGTAGGACCGGAGCTAGTCTGGAATCTGGACTGTACGGCCGATGGAGCAGCTGGTCTGGAGCTGTACGGATCAGAGGAAGCAACCGGAATCTGGAATTAGACCAAGCATCAGAGGCGATGCTGTAACAGGGCCCTGCTCCGCCGAGAATCCGACGCAGATCCGACGCCCCTGGGCTTTAGCTCTCAGTCGCGACCAATCTGTGTTGCTCCCTCCTAGGCGGGCTACTCAACCTGCAAGCCGAAGCTGGGACGCGTCGGCACAAGCGGCGAAGTGTGGGCTCCAGGTACGGGCTCTGCCACGGCGTCGCCTGCTTTATCCAGGCGTTCCACCGCTGGGTCTGGCCCCCTTGCAGCTAAGCAGCTCGTCATAAAAAACGGCGATCTCCATCTGCCATTAATGGAGGTTCAAAGCTCAGGGAAGGAGATGAGAATATGCCCGATCCAGTCAACATCTGCCTCAACGCAGCCCCAGCAGCGACCCCTCCTTTCTTCCTGCTGACGGTGACTGTAGGCGGCTGGCGACGATCTAATCCAGACCCCCGGCGGCGTCGAGGAAAGAACCGCTCTCACCTAATGTTAGCTGCGGGAGATGAACGCAGGCCACCTATTATCCAATTATCAGAAGACCTGTCAGTATCTTTGAAGAAAGGGTCTCCCAGCACATGGGGTGTTAACTATCAATAACTCTGCCCACATCTTTTGAAGGACCTACTAGCACATGACTGTTACTTCAGCTACTCCGATTAAAGCTCCGCTGGGAAACTTAAGGGAAAGCAGTGGGCCAAGATTACGTGGAACTAGATATTGAGCAACAATTTCAGCAAGCCCATTAATTTCAGCCCACTCATAAAAAGAAAGATAAGTACTCTTTAATTATCTTATTATTTATGTTTATTTAAATCACTTTTTTATCGATAAATGTCACACTATCACACACTTATGATCAAATGCCTAGTAGAGTGTGGCTTGAGACCCATCACTAGGATTTAAAGCCCTGTCTCCTCAGGCACAAAGCCCCGACCAAGTCGGGCATGAAGACAAAACCCCGACCAAGTCGGGTACGAAGACCGGTCTTAGTCATTCCTCGAGTGGCGACCGTTGCTTACGAATGGCTCACACATCCATTCTACTAAGTATTTTATCATTACATTAACAATTCACATCTCCACTTGTTTAAAGTGACGAACTCCCGATCGGGAACATAAATCCCAAGAAAAAAAAAATTATGTATGATAAATGTGTAGGTACGAAGATGACTTTACTCATTTTCACCTCGTTTCCACTCGCCTCAAAGAGTGGGGACTGGGGGACTGAGGGGTCAGAGTTTCTAGATGAGCAGAAAATATCACGCAAGAGCAGGAACGAGAGCTGAGTCAGTTGAAGAGGAGCTGAGCTAGATTGATTATGCCGGAGGGGATTTACCTTCCTTGTTTCATGTTGGGGGCGCTAGGTGTACTCTTTTTCCCTTTATTAGGATTTTTTCCCACTGGGTTTTTCCTAGTAAAGGTTTTTAACGAGGCACCTCCCCATAATGGACAAGGGTAGTGGTCCCCCGGCCGAAGAGGAAGAACGTTGCAGATACAGTTTGGACTACTCCCTTTCGCCTCGAGTACTCTCGACTCAGGGAGTGGGGGACTCCTGATGGATTATATGGACTCCGACCCCCCGGTATGCCGACTACTAGGCCTGGACAGCGGCCCACACACGTTTATCGGATATCATTAATATTATTGTACATTATTATTATTCAGATGTTCTAGATTAGCTTTTTATACTATCAATCCATTTATGTAACCGGGTCTGTCAGGCCCATATTAGAGGCCCAGACCCGAATTCTCCCTATATATACTCCTTATAGGAGGCTTGTAACTCATATAACAAATATTCATTCTATACACATTTTCTTTTCTTCTCCATTACTCCTTTTGATTCTTGTTCAATTTCTCCTGTTTATACAATATGGGTATCAATTATCCAACAATAGAGTTCCTTTTTTGTCCGCTTCACTTTACTCACTAAATATTCCTTGCTAAAAGCGGTAGAGATCCTGACGATTCGAAAGGGCAAAACCGGAGAAACAAACATATGTTTTTATATTCAAGGTACTGATTTAGTTAAAATCAATGTCTCAGTGATGATTTTCATTTTTCCAGTTTCAAAGTAGAGCTTTTTACTTAACTTTTAATTTAGAAGATCTATTAATGATTAGTAAATATTTCGCTCTTGAACTTTAATTGTGACAAATAACAACTGCCGAATGAATGATTTAAAACAAACACTATCTATTAAGTAAAAAAATTCTACTTTATTCGTAATAGTCATGTGGTGAAACATGTTTCCATGTGAGAAGTGTGAATTAGTAGCTTTAAACTGTATAAATATGTGTAAATCAGATGAATATTGAAATCTCACAACAAGATTTCATACAATAGATCATACACGCATACATGAAGAAGAAGAAGAAGAATAAGAAGATCGGAAGAGAATTTCCTTCAGAAGAGTCTCATTGCAGAGTATTACAAATGGAAAATAATACGTGTATCTCTAGTACAGTAGTTCAGAGTATTTATATGTACAAAGTTTACACTTATCCGACTTACAATGTAACGAACTACTTACTAACAAACTATAACAAACTTTTATTTATTTAACAATACTAACACCCCCCCTCAAGCTGGGGTTAGATGAAGTCAAACCCAGCTTGGTTAGTAATTGTCTGAACTGTGGAGAAGGCAAAACCTTTGTAAATACGTCTGCTAGTTGATTCTGAGTAGGCAGATATGTCAACTGGATTAAACCTTCTAGCAACTTCTCTCTTGTAAAATGACAATCAATGTCAATGTGTTTTGTTCTTTCGTGAAAAACCGGATTTTTAGCAATCTGAATTGCTGACTGATTATCACAGTGAATGGTAACAGGTTTCAAAGATGAGATATTTAATTCTTCTAACAGTCTCACTAACCATGTAACTTCTAATGTGACTTGCTACATTGCTCTATATTCAGCTTCAGATTTGGCAATGGTGGACTGTTTATTTGATTTCCAACTTATTGGGGATCCTCCCAAAAGAATCAAATAACCTGTGACTGATCTTCTAGAGAAAGGACATGTAGCCCAATTAGAATCTGAATAAGCTTGTAAAATAAGATTGTCTGAACCATTTAATAAGATGCCTTGTCCTGGTGTGCATGCTAAATACTGTAAAACATGTTGTAATGCATCAAAATGGGGTACTTTTGGATTCTGCATGAGGTACTTTTGGATTCTGCATCAAAATGGATACTTTTGGATGGCAAATGCAATATCAGATCTGGTATGTCCTAGAAAATTTAGTTTACCAACCAAGGTTCTATATAGAGAAGAATCTTCAAATGCAGGCTCATCTTCAATAGATAACTTGCAGTTTAATGGCAAAGGTGTTGTGACTTTCTTTTCTGGAACAGGAAACTCTTGTAGTAATTCTCTGGTGAACTTGTTTTGAGTAAGAATGATACCATCAGCTGTAGTGGAAGCTTCCATGCCTAGGAAAAAATGTAGATGTCCCAAATCCTTTATGGTAAAAGTCTTGTCTAAGAAAGACCTTATTGCCATAATTTCATCACTGTCTGAACCAGTCAATAATATGTCATCAACATAGACAGCAAGAATGGTTAACCCTTTTTCAGTTTTCTTTAGGAATAAAGATGGATCATTTACAGATTGATTGTAAGATTGGGCCTTTAGAGATGAAGTCAACTTGTTAAACCACTGTCTAGAAGCCTGTTTCAAACCATATAACGATTTCTTCAGTTTGCACACTTTGTTTTCTGGATTGGGAATACCCAGTGGGACTTTCATGTATACATCTTCATTTAAATCACCATGAAGGAATGCATTGTTCACATCCAGTTGATAAACATCCCATTTTCTTGCTACAGCAATTGCTAAAACAGATCTGATGGTTGTCATTTTAACAACAGGTGAAAAAGTTTCTTCATAGTCTATTCCATATTTTTGGTGATTTCCTTGAATGACAAGTCTGGCTTTGAGTCTTTCCAATGATTCATCAGAATTTAGCTTGACTTTATACACCCATTTTGAGCCAATGGCCTTTTTATTAGGTGGTAAATCACAGAATTCCCATGTGCAATTCTTTTCAAGTGCATTAAGTTCTTTGTTCATAGCAGTAACCCACTTAGGATTTTGAACAGCTTGGTGATATGACACAGGTTCAATGTGGGAAGAAATATGAGCAATAAAAGCTTGATTTTTGAGTATCAAATGAAACAAGATTACAATGATGTGGTGTTGTGGTTAAATGGGCATATGATGTAGGTTGAAGAGGACAGATATAATCTTTTAAGTATGATGGTGATTTGTGTGTTCTTGAAGATTTTCTGACTGATTGGTGTGTATTTTCTTCATTTTGATGATATGTTGGTGGAGGTGATGTGTCAGAACCAAGACTGTCATGGTCTGTGGGAGGGGTTGATTGAGATGAATGTGTGGAAGATGAATGATTGTGATAAAATAAAGTTGAAATGTCAGAAGTGATTGTGGGAAGATATGATTCAGATGGAGGTTGGTTTAAATGAAGAAAGGGGAAGATGTGTTCATGGAATTTAACATTCCTGGTAGTATAGACAGTGTGATTTTGCAAATCAAGGACTTTGTATCCTTTTTTATAATGAGGATAGCCTATGAAAACACATGGATGACTTCTTTCTTCAAATTTCTTTCTGGATATCTTAGATGTGGCAACAAAACATAGACAACCAAAAACTTTTAGATTGTCATATGCAGGTTTGTGTGAATAGAGAAGTTCATATGGTGAAAGATTATTTAGAACAACAAGGGGTATTCTGTTTATTAGGTATGTAGCATGCAGAAGACATTCACCCCAGTATTTTATTGGAAGTTTAGACTGAAAGTAGAGTGCTCTGGCAATCTCTAGGAGGTGTTTGTGTTTTCTTTCTACCCTCCCATTTTGTTGAGGGGTATTGACAAAACTGGTTTGGTGTATAATCCCTTTTTGAGAATAAAAATGAAGGGCATTATTGTCTTTAAATTCAATACCATTGTCAGATCTTATGATTTTAACAGTGGTTTTGAATTGATTTTCAATGAAAGTAATAAAGCTCTGGAGAAAAGAAAAAGCACAGGATTTAGAGCTTAGCAAACGAGTCCAAGTAGCTCTAGAATAATCATCAACAATGGTAATGAAAAATCTGTTACCATGATGAGTACAATTGGCATATGGACCCCATAGATCAACATGAAGAAGTTCAAAAGATCTGGAAGCTTTATTATTACTATTGGGAAAGGAATCATAGTGTTGTCTTGCCTTTGGACAAACATTACAGATATATTTAGAAGCAAATTGATATGAAACAGAATCTAAATGTATATGTTTCATTCTAGAATAAGGCATGTGTCCTAATCTACAATGCCAGAGTTGTAGATTATCACTTGAAGATAGATGAGCTTGATTTGTACTAGAAGAAATGGAGCTATTGGTGGAGAGATTTGTAGATCTTGTGTGTGAAGTAACATAGTACAAACCACCATGTTCTCTACCAAGGAGTTGGGGAGGATTCATCAAATGGTCGTGTATCAAACATTGGGTGGGAGTGAAAATCAAATGAGATTTTGAGGTTTTTGTAAGTTTGCTTGTAGAAATGAGATTGAACTGAAAGTTTGGAACATGTAACACATCATTTAAGGTTATGGTAGGTGTGAGTTGAACTGTGCCTATGTGCATGACTGAAACTTTCTGACCATTTGGAATAGTAATATGACATGCAGTTTTAATTGGTTCATATGTCAAGAATTGTGAAAGGTGTGGTGTGATATGGTCACTAGCACCGCTGTCAATGATCCAAGTGTTATCACTGTATGAAGAGAAGAAACAAAATTTACCTGCTAAGAGTGCAGTATTAAAATTTTGTGAAGAGTTATCATTTTGCTTGCTCAAAAGAGATAACATCTGTTGATATAACTCAGGTGTAATAACTCCAACCTTTTCATCAGAAGCAGATGTAGTAGATTGTGATTCAGAATTCATATCTGATGTAGCTTGAGTAGCAAATCTTTTCTCTCAGAAATTCTTCTTCAGTTCTGGATGCAATTTATAACATCTTTCTGCAGAATGTCCTTGCATTTTGCAATGATCACAGAAATACATCATCCTTTTATTGAAAGCCTGTTGTTTAGCATTTCCAGCATTGTTCTGAGCATAATTCTCATTTCCAGAATTTCCAATACCAGAAGTATATCCAGATTTTGAAGGATTCCCAAAGTTATAACCTCTACCAAACATCTTGTTTGCAGCAAAAGCCATGTTCTCAGAATTCATTTTCCCTTCATCAAATAATTCTCTTTGCTTCTCATCTTGAGTGATTATGTTATAAGCAGTGTTTACATCAGGCAAAGGATTCAGCATCAATATATTTCCTCTAGCAGTCTTGTAAACACTGTTCAGTCCCATTAAAAACTTCACAAGTCTTTGTTTCTTGATCATTTTTGAAATTTCAGAATTTATATTGCAAGTACATAATCCACATTTGCAGCTAGGCATTTTGCCAACACAATCATACACATTCCATAAACCTATCAGCTTGGTATAATACTCAGAAACAGATGAAGATCCTTGTTCCATTTCATTTAATTCCTTCTCTATTTGAAGAATTTTGGGTCCATTATTTTGGCTGAATCTATTATTCAGTTCTTTCCAAACATCTTGAGCAGTATTACAGTATAAAACACTGGAAGATATCGATTCCTCACAAGAATTCAATAGTCAAGAAATTACCGTTTTGTCGCACCGTTCCCACTGTTTTCCCATTGCGACATCAGATTCAGGTTTCTTGCAAGTTCCATCAACAAATCCAAGTTTGTTTCTGGTTATAAGCAATATACGAGCTGATCTTTCCCAAGCTTCGTAATTCTGTCCATCTAGCTTTCTTGTGGATAACATGAAACTCGGATGATCACTTTGCCCTAAATAGAGCTCGTGATT